TTTGCTTTCTTTCTTTGTAAGGCCGCAAGCCCATGGGTATTTGTGTCCTGCAACTTGGATGCATGCTCTTGCCCTCCCGGAGAACCTCCAAGGACAACCCAATAACTCACGTCCCCTCCGCAGCGCAGGCGTTGCCATTCCGCCAAGCTCCCAGTCGTTTGCGTCGGCTTCTGCTTTGCAGTTCATGACCTATCCCCTGAGTCCAAGCAAGTTGAGCATCAGGACACAAGAGACAAAACCCCCCCCCCACACTGCACAATGCGCCCAAGACAAGTGTGTCACCCAGCCCGGGCTGAGCATCGCGCATATGGCTCAATCACCGACTGGGAGGGTGACAATCACAACTAGCTATGGGCCCTGCGACTGCAACGACATGTGGAGAGACCAGCAATCAACACCTTGGAATCCAATCTTAGGTTTGGTGGCTCTCCGCCCGCGCCCGGGACCCAGCGATTGGTCCATCGCAGCGGCCTCGCTACTTGCAAAGCTGTCTCCGGAATTAGTTTCCTCCGTTCCCATCGGTTTTTTGGGCTGGGCGCTCCAACCCCTTTGCTCCAGAGCTCCGTCTACAATTTCGGCGTGGGCGCGGCAGAGGAAGTTATTAGCTAGGTGGTCTGAAGCGTCAAAGCCAGGAAATTATGGACAGCGGTATTCGGTATTCGGCACTCTGCAGATGTTGCATTAGCGCCCTCGAGAGGTCATACCCTCCGCAGCACGTCATAGTGGCCCACCAGGCTGCTGCTTTGGGTTGGGAGGGCTTCTTTGCATCAGCCATGCTCCCAAGATCCCAGGATCCCAATCACTGTAACTGCAAATCTAGAGCTTGTCAGCGAGCGGTGATGTTCCTATGTAGCCCAGAAGAAGCCCCGACCACGAGGCCCCACAGACGAACGGCTGGCCGCGAATCAGGCGCGGAGAGCTTGAACTGACCTCGTTCGCACCTCCCCAGCCCATCTGCCATCCTAGACCCACGACGTCCCACAATTTCAGAAGGATGCTTGGAGTGATTGTTTTTGCTCCCTTGAGCCTGAGCCTGCTTCGGGCGACCCCTTCGAGGAAGAGTGAAAACTCCACTGGCTGTTGCACGCAGCAAAGTACTCCGTACATCCCTTGGAGTCATGGCACGTTCTTCGTGGAAAGTCTTGAGCGTGGTCGTTGCGCTGGTCGCTTTGTACAACGTTTACCAACAGCTTGAGTTTATGCTCGCATCCTTCAAAACACATGCGTTACCCGCCTCCCCCGCCCTGCACTTTGCCCGCGGGTGGTGTCATCTGCGCGTTGAAAGGATCTCTATGCGGGAGCATTTTTGGCTTTGAGCATACTTTTGACCAAGAGCTTCTCATCTTGCTCTCCTGCAAATGGCGCGCTCCACGAGGAAGGTCACCGCTTGTGTTGTTGCGGGTGCGTTGCTGGCATGCGGCCTCTCCCGCTCCGGCTTCGTGCCCGGGCCGCTTCGCAGAACGGCTGCGCCAGTGGCAGCTGCATCCGCAGCCGGCATGATGATGGCTCCGGCTGCGTTCGCCGACGAAATTGGCGATGCAGCAAAGAAGCTTGGTGATGCGTCCTACGACTTCGCGAAGGAAGTGGACTGGAACAACGGCATCTTCTTGCAAGCTCCTGGCAAGTTCCAACCTCTCCAAGCTCTGAAGGCGATTGACAAGATGATCGACATGGGAGCCGCCGCAGACCCCAAGCTCTTGAAGGCCGCGGCGGAGGCCCATCACAAGGCCATCGGAAGTATCTCAGGTGCCAACGGTGTGACTTCTCGAGCGGATTGGGATGCGGTGAACGCAGCTCTGGGCCGCGTTGTGGCGTCCGTCCCCAAGGCAAAGGTCATGGACGTCTACAATGCCGTGAAGGACATCACTGACCCCGCCGTGCCCGCCTACATGAAGTCTTTGGTCAATGGTGCCGATGCCGAGAAGGCATACAAGGGCTTCTTGGAGTTCAAGGACGTGGTGGAAAAGAGCATTGGAGTTGATTCAGATCGATGTTTGACTATCTCAGAATTCCCACGTCGTTCTGCATCTGCGTCGCGCCTTGTCTTAGCATATTTCAACTGATTTCCGCAAACAAATCCAAGGAACCAAGTGTCTGCGGTTGGTGCTCCTGCCACTGTGCCCACTGGTGACAAGATTGGTGCGGCGGCGAAAGCCCTCTCGGATGCATCTTACCCTTTCTTGAAAGAGGTGCAGGATTGCAAATAAGAAAAGTTGGGGTCGATGGCCCGCGCTGTTGTGTCTTTGTCTTTGCTGGAGATAAATGAGAAACTTGATTTAGTCCCCCATGCTATATCCAGTTCCTAAGGGTCTGCAATGGTTTCCTTTGACCGAGCCTTCTCTAGTTTGCTTGTGTGCGAACTGTCAGGTGGACTGGCTGTCCGATGTTTACCTGAAGCCGCTGCCCGGCACCACAGCCCCGAAGGTGATGACCGCCATTGACAAGATGATCGTCATGGGCAGCCAGATGGACGGAAACCTGTTGAAGGCCGCCGCCGAAGCGCACCACAAGGCCATTGGCAGCGTCGACGCCAAGGGAGTGACGTCTGCTGCGGATTACGAGGCAGTGAACGCAGCAATCGGGCGCATTGTCGCATCAGTGCCAAAGGCCACCGTGATGGACGTGTACAACTCCATGGCCGGAATTGTGGATGGATCCATTCCCAACAACATGTTCTCCAAGGTGAATCCTCTTGATGCAGCTGCCGCTGCAAAGGGCTTCTACACCTTCAAGGATGTGGTAGCAGCGTCTCAGAGATGAGAGTTCTTGGCCGGGCGCTCTGGCGTCGATTGTCGGACCCTTTGAAAGCCACCGCTCTATGTATTTCTTGCCAACTTAACTTTTTGAATTGTACAGTGCAGAAGAATGGTTCGCGATTGACGACGATGTTGTGCCTTGAAGCGCCTATCAGAGCTCAATCTTGCTTTGGCTTAGTGAAGGAAGGAGGGTAGTAGATGCCGATGGTTATTTGCTCGTCTGCTAGGGACCCCCTCTAGAGATTAAAGTCTGGGCAAGCTTTCGATAGCTCGTAGTCGTAGCCTAAACCACGCTCTCCCGAATCTGAGCCCCGTTTTCAGCAAACTCAACCCCCAACAGACCCCAGAACTCCTGGGCAAGGCCGGATCAGGCCCGCGTACCGACCTTTGGTCCAGGCGCTTCATGGGCGTGGCGGGGTTGGAGAGGGGGGCCTGGGTTGAGGGTTTGAGTTTGCTGCCTTCCGGCAAGTGGATCCCTTCCCAGGGGGGGGGGGGGGGGGGGGGGTAACGCTTGCAGCCTTCTTTACGTGTGCATGTCTGACCCTGTGGGGTTGTTTATCCTAGGCCATAGGGTAGCTGCATTTAGAGTACGGGCGGTCTGGAGAGATCAGATGCCAGGCGAGCCATCAAACCATCGATTGGTCCTTTACCCTACAAATCTTCCCTGTAAGGCTACTGATCTGGGTGATCCTCGGGCATTTCCTAGGACCCCAGTCCCTTCAAAGTATGGAGTTTCGATGAGTTTCGGCGGAATGTTTTCCCCGTTGCGTCCATCGCATGTCGCCAGGAATTGCAGCAAACAACGTGGCCCATTGGACTCCGCCAGGGGTCGTCGTGCACAGACAGGCCGAAAAAACTGGGTTGGTTGGGGGGGGGGGGGGGGTGGGGGGCCCATAATTTTGGTGACTTTGCACATCATGATGAACCAAGAGCCTAAGCTACCCCTCGGGGGGCTGTCGCCACTTTCCCCTCGCAAAAAAAATGAAACTCTTATGGCTCAGGCAGCTCAGGTTGGCTATGCGCCCATGCTTCGGCAAGGCCAGAGTGCAAGCCAAGTCGTTTTTTTCTGGAGGATTTTTCGCCTCCTTCCACGGTCAGTCGGGCTGAGAGCTTCTGCAAAAATCTTAGAAGCGTTTCGAGTCCTTTTTGCGGTGGAGGTTGGCCAATCTCCGTGAGAGCCCGCCAAAATTCCCGTGACAATGCAGGCTACACCTAGCCAAGCGGGCCAAGCGGATCCGAGCACCCGGCCGTTGCCATTTCGAAGCCGCGGCGCGGCGAAAGGTGGGGGGCCGGGTGAGGGAGGGAGAATCAGAGTGGTTCCGATGCACCCGCAGGTTCGGGTTCTTGACATTTGTGAGTTTTGCGGTTGAGCTCAGGGTTTTGCAAAGCATGACGAGTCTCCTTTGGAGATTAGTGATGTGTTGGGGGACGGGGGAGTCCCGGGGGAGGGGGCGGACGGGTTAGGGTGTGTTGCTCATAATATAGGGCTTCAACAGGGTCTCGTTTTTCGGGATGAGGCGTACAGTCTAGAAGTTGTTTCCCTGGTTTTGCTCTGTTTTTGCCTGCGTCGTGGCATTCATCTTATGGGATGTGGTGGGAATCCGGTTCCTCACGTTCAGGTCTGGATGTTTGCGCCGCAGAGTTGGGGCTGCGGCCGCCAGGTCTCACCAGTCAGGCCAAACCTGTGAGTTAGATTCGGGCCATGTACAGTCTGCGCCCCATAATGCTCCTCTGCCACAGGTGCAGGTGTGTGGAAGAACAGTGGAAGAAACAGACATTTGTGATCAGAGTCTTTCTTGAAATAGCAGTTCCCGGCAACCAACTTCCATCGCCTCTTCTCTGGTGGTCGCCTGAAGGCGCAGCTAGGCTTCTTCATGCTCGACAGGCATGTTCAGCCGGCACGCCGCGCAGAAAAGAGTTGCAGCCGCTCAGCAGACACGTGCAGGTGCCTCTATGAAGCGTTCAGGGCCGGTATACACGCGTGGCGCATGGGCCACAACAAGATGGCCCAAGTCGAGCTTTCAACTGAGAAAAGGGCGAACATTCAGCAACCATGGTCGCAGCATTTCCAGATCTATACTCATGCGCTCGTGCGTTGGACTTTCATGTCAATTAGACAGATTAGGCTCACAAGTAGCTGTGTCAAAGCACAAGCACGCCGGAACATGCTCCATCCGAACACAACTGCCCATGCATGACATTGCCTAGAAGACCCAACGAAACGTGCGTGCAGCGGCATCCAGCATGGTCTTGGCTACTTTGAGCTTCTTGTCCAAGCACATCGCGTATCACTCTGTCATTCTAGTGTTGCCCGCTTGTGACGGCAACTGTTTCGCAGAGGGTGGGAAGCTTGATCTGCAACCAATGAGGAGCGGGCCACCTGCGGTGGCAACCTCGGAGCTCTTTGGGCGACTGCGTCGGGCTTCGTGTTTCGCAGGGGGCTTCCGGGATTCTTCGGCCCGAATGCCCCTCTGGGTGCCTGAGTACGCTGCCGCGCTGCGGGCTTCGCTTCTGCAGTGGAGGCCGGGGAGGGATTAAATTCTCGGTTTTCTGAAAGTACTGATGCCGCCGTAGACCCCAAACAGTGAGAGCCCATGTGAGCCAAGAAGTCCCAAAACGATGACAGTTTCGCATTTCGTGAGTCTAGCCGGCAAAAAAAGCGACAACAGTTTCGCATCTCGCGACTCCAGAAGTCCAAAATGGATGACAGTTTCGAGGACGGCGAGAACGCGAAAATCGTTCCAGAATGCTACTGGGTAGCCTTCGAGGCTTCGATAAATACGCGTGGTTCGGGCCGCGGGCGCTGGCGTGGGCGCCGCGCGAATCTAGCCGGTGTTGACAGAGAGGTTGGGGGAGTATGGGCAGTTGCTCAGCTCGAGGGGTTCAGACGGAGGCCAAGGCTGAGATGGCACCTGTTGCCCGCGTTTTTAGGGTCCCACTTTGGGATCTTTCGGTTGAGGTCGGGCTTAGGGTTTGGGGTTCAGGTTTAGGGGGTCTTGAATTTCGGGTGGAGCATGATTCAGTCCAGTCAAAACACCAAAAAATGCGCAGAAGTATGTTAGAACGCTTCGGCTTGGCATTGTCGCTTTCGATCTTATCAGGTTCATGAACCAACGCAGCCTGAGAGAGAAAGTAGTGGTATTGTCATCCCTTGCTTTCTGATGCTTGGCTTTTGCTGTTCGCCGGCAGGAGGTGAAGGGCGTCCTAGAATCCGGTCTGCGCCCGAGCTGCCAGCGTTGCAGGGTCTAGCTGGATCGCAAGACCAGTGACGGGCTTGTTGAAATTGGGCTTATTAATGTCCCTCACCATCCTGTGTCCGCACCTGGCCGCCTCCCGCCCACGACGCATGCCGCCCATTAGTCCTTCTGGGTTGTGTCATCTGCGCCTTGAGAGGATCTCGCTTCGGGAGCATTTTTGGCTTTGAAAATACTCTTGACCAAGCGCCTCTCATCTTGCTCTCTTGCTAATGGCGCGCTCCACGAGGAAGGTCACCGCTTGCGTTGTTGCCGGTGCACTGGCGGCATGCGGCCTCTCCAGCTCCGGGTTCGTGCCAGGGCCGCTTCGCAGGACGGCTGCCCCAGTGGCAGCTGCATCCGCAGCCGGCATGATGATGGCTCCGGCTGCGTTCGCCGACGAAATTGGCGATGCAGCAAAGAAGCTTGGTGATGCGTCCTACGACTTCGCGAAGGAAGTGGACTGGAACAACGGCATCTTCTTGCAAGCTCCTGGCAAGTTCCAACCCCTCAAAGCGCTTAAGGCGATTGACAAGATGATTGACATGGGAGCGGCAGCCGACCCCAAGCTCCTGAAGGCAGCGGCGGAGGCCCATCACAAGGCCATCGGAAGCATCTCAGGTGCCAACGGTGTGACTTCTCGGGCGGATTGGGATGCGGTGAACGCGGCTCTGGGCCGCGTTGTGGCGTCCGTCCCCAAGGCAAAGGTCATGGACGTCTACAATGCCGTGAAGGACATCACTGACCCTAAGGTGCCCGCGTACATGAAGTCTTTGGTCAATGGTGCCGATGCCGAGAAGGCATACAAGGGCTTCTTGGAGTTCAAGGATGTGGTGGAAAAGAGCATTGGAATTGATTCAGATCCGTTTTTTACATTCTCAGAAATCCCACATCGTTCTGTTTCTGTGGCACTTCTATACCTAGTGTCCTTCTCACATGCATTCCTCCAACAAATCCAAGGAACCAGGTGGCCGCAGTTGGCGCTAAGGCCACTGTGCCCACTGGGGACAAGATTGGTGCGGCGGCTAAGGCCCTTTCGGATGCGTCTTACCCTTTCTTGAAGGAGGTGCAGGATTGCAAAGAAGAGAATTGGGCTCGATGGCCCTTGCAAACGTTCATCACCCTTAAACTTCATTCAGTTTTCATGGGGTTTGCAACGGGTTTCCTCTGACCGAGCATGCTGGTGTGTGCTGTGTGTTAGTACCCTCAGGTGGACTGGCTGTCCGATGTTTACCTGAAGCCGCTGCCAGACACCACCGCACCCAAGGTGATGAAAGCCATTGACAAGATGATCGTGATGGGAAGCCAGATGGACGGCAACCTGTTGAAGGCTGCCGCTGAGGCGCACCACAAGGCCATTGGCAGCGTCGACGCCAAGGGAGTGACGTCGGCTGCGGATTACGAGGCAGTGAACGCAGCGATCGGGCGCATTGTCGCATCAGTCCCAAAGGCAACCGTGATGGATGTGTACAACTCCATGGCCACAATTGTGGATGGATCCATTCCCAACAACATGTTCTCCAAGGTGAACCCTCTTGATGCAGCTGCCGCTGCAAAGGGCTTCTACACCTTCAAGGATGTCGTGGCAGCGTCGCAGCGCTGATGAGAGTTTTTGGCCGGGCGCTCCGGCGTCGAACTGTCGGACCGGTTGAGCCCACAACTCTATGTAAGTGTTGCCAACTTGTTTTTGAACTGTACAGTGCAGAAGAGTGTTGGGGCGTTGTTCTAAATGTGGGCTTGAGATTGGCAGGTGCGGCATTCAGAGCTTATTCTAGATGCCAACCGGGACATTCAGTTCGTATTTCAATGGCGTCTCACGCCAGCTTTAGGAGAGGCTTTTGGCATGAGCTCCCGAGAAAAGTGCGGCTTGTTCGGTTCTGGCCATTCTACTTCGGAAGCTTTTTGCATTTCACCGATTCGAGGCTCGCCACATCGGATCAGATCGTGGGATTTACCGTCAAAGAGCCCGCTGCCCAGACGGGCCGAGCAGGTGTTGAGCCAGGGTCAGGGGCCGCCTTCCCAGTCCTCCGCTGAAATCTCCGAGCTGCCCAAACACCCATACGGGCAGTCTAGACGCAGCTTGTGCACACTCTCACGGCTTCGTATCAGAGTCGCCCTGACCCCAAACTCTCGCATAATTGCGGCTCGAGAGAGGTACAAGGGCCTGGTGATGGGCTCAACGGTGCGGCGCTCTTGAGAAAGACCCCCACGATTCGAGAGCAGAAGAGGGATTCTGGAGGACTTACTGGTTTTTCCACAGATCCTTTCGAAGACTCACGATGTTGGGATTGCTAGGGCTTTGCCGAACCGCAAGTGGCCCAAGGCCTTTCGCAATTCATGAACATATTTCAAGAGCAGGTTTCTTGAAGAGTCTTCCTTCGTCCGGAGCGCCAAGGTGAGGGCCAAGGACGTGACCAAGGACTTCTCCAGCTCCATCCGCGCGGTTCCGGGCCTAGATCAAGCTGAAAGTTTGGCTTAAATCGCCATCGTTGGTCTCCGGGAAGCTGCAGCCAGCAAAGCTTTGCCATCGTAAGGATGGTGCCCTCATTTTCCGTCACAGCATTTGTCACTGGCTGTCGCAGATGGAACCTTGGCCTCCACATCTCCGCTTCCAAGCCCTCAGCTTCTCAGGTTTTTGGCGGAGAGCTCCCACACTACACGCAACTGATGCAGGACGGCGTGCGAAACAGTTCCCTATCCGGTTGGGGGCGTGGGCCGCATGCTGAATCTGTGTGAAGCCCGAAAGTCTTGAAAGTCTTCAAGTGTCAGCGAAGACCGAACTTAGGGAGTTCTTAAAGGCGACTTTGCCGGAGACCCTTTGAGTGTCTTGAGTATGCAGGACGCGCGTGAGGAAGCCATCTCGAGGTTGGAGGACCGAGGGGCAACGGAGGTTCAACGCTCTCCCAGATTCTGCTTAGTTCTTGCCAGCTCCGTTCTCCCAAATGCCCGGAAAAACTGCAGCCACGAAAGCTGGAGCAGCTTTGTGACCTGTAAGACAGGGAGGGTGCCAGGATACCCTCCAACGTAGCTCAAGCAGGAGATGTCGCAAGATCCGACACTTGTGAAACGGTATAGTAAGTATAGTAACACAAGAATATAACTGTATGCATGTATTAGCCGTATAGTAGTTGAACAGTTCTTTCTGCGTCTTTTGGGAGTGGAGCTCTCAGGACGAGGCCACGAAGCTGGGAGCAAACGCTGCCCTGTCCTTTGTAGATCGGGGTTTGAGTGGCTCTCCATGCAAAGGTCCTTCTCGAAGCCGTCGTTCCGCTGCTTTTGCAGAGCCTTTCGTATGCGGAGTCAGGTAATCAGCCTGCGCCTCTCCTCCACGAACATTGCCGTCATCGCCCCAGCTGTTTCCTGTCGCATCAGACAGCTTCATGATGCTTCATACACCAACCGCTTCTCTCCCTTTTTACCAGCAAGCCAGTTCACATGTTGGTCTGTCACTTCAGATGTCACTTCAGAGTAAGATGTGTATTCAACTTACTATCGATTACTATTCATTTTTCCATACGGTATAAAGGTATATCTCTGGTTTTTTTGGGGGGGAGGGTCTCCTCATTCTCCGAGGGTTCTTCATCCTGGAAACCAAGCCCCTACCTTTTCAGATATCGCAATCGGACACCTAAGGTTTCAAAGAGCCTGTCAGATGAATCTCAGACACCTAGTTTTTCATAAAAGTTCAAGACAAAATGAAAAATCCAGTCGTTACTGCGTCGGAGAGCGTCGCGGAACCGAGGCCACCACCTCGGAAGTGATGGTCTACGGCACCGCCGTGGTGGTGGAGTGAAGTTAGGGCCTGGCAGCGCCTTTAGCGCCTTTAGGGCTCCGTGTGAGCCATCCTAGCTGTAGACCGACGGCACAAGTTGAGGAGCCGCCGATCGCGTTTTGCGAGAAACACAGTAGCCGTTGCCCAAGCTACTGAAAAGGCCCAGTCTCGAAGCAGGCGCTGCACCCTTCCCTAACACCCCCCAAACAAAATCTTGGGGCAGCCACGGGCTCACATGCGGTGGCCAAGTCGCCGCGATTGCAATGGTCGCAGCCTCGGAAAGTTGAAATCCCAGTTGCGTGAAAGCCTCGGAAGCATTCGTTGAATCCTCTCCTCAAGTTTGTCTCCCCTGCGTGAACTCTGTCCTTGGTCTCAGGTGTTTGACCCAAGCCTCTTCCATCAGCCCGACAGCCACTGGCACGAGGCTCGGGATGGTGCCCAAGCCCACGAACCTCGGTATGCCTACAGCGCACACTGATCTAGTCTGCTTAGGCGCACGGACGGTCTTTGAATCTTTGAGTACTAGTAGCTTTCATGAAGACTGACACAAGAAACAACGCCCTTTTGGTGTGGCTGAGCTGGAGAGTTGCACAGGGTACGCTGAAAGCCCTTTCTCTCAGAATCCCCCAAAAGTGAAGATTGAGCATTGAGCACTCCCTGAATCGCAACGCCCTGCACAGTCCCAAGCTGGCTACGACGCTCAGTCAGCCGCCCGGGGGGGTTGCTGGGAGTTTCGGAGATTCACGACGTCGGGTGTAGGCCCGTGCAAGCTGTGTGGAGATGAGGGCGGAGTCTTTTTTGCTGGACCTCTTGGTTGCGAGTAAGGGGCACATCGAATCCTACCTGAATTGAAGTACTACGGGTTGCACAAACTCCGGCTGCGGGGCCATCTGGCGTGTCCAAGCGAATAGATTGGACCAAACATCACCTTGAAGCTCAAAGCCTGAAGCCTGATAGAGCGGGTGTATAAATTTTCTTTGTCACATGACCATGGTGCCCAGTCACTGGCCACACGACCGCGCGCTGCGGCACCGTGTTCAGGCAAAAGCTGGGAAAGTGCTAGGTTTGCTTTGGGTTTACGTTGCTGAAGCCCTTTGGAGTTTCGAAGCTCGGGGCTTCATAGCGGCATGCGTGCCCCAGGACGTCTCGGGCCACGCAGCTGTGCCGACGGAGACGCTCCCCAGGCGAGGCACGGACAGACGACAGCAGAATCCATGCAAACGCACCGAAGTGAAACTCGAAACTGATTACAGGATGTTGCTGGGCTTGAGGCGGAAGTGCGACCAACCGGACTGATTGATACGCCAACCCAGACACAGCAAAGCAACCAAGCCCTAGCCTGTGCGGAGTGGTCAGGGCAACGCGTGCTGCGAAGTTGATTGCAGGAATGCGTAGCAGCAAGCCTGAAGGCAGCTATCTCAAGACCTTAATTCCGCAATGCGTCAAGCCCAGCTCCAGAGGCCCACACGGTTCTCTTGCATCACTTCCTGGAAACCCCTGCCCACAAAACCAATCCGGAGAGCCTCAAAGATCGGCGTTTAGCCGCGAAATGCCGTAAAGTAAAATTCGAAGTCCACACACACAATCCCTTCGAAGGAGCGAGAACAAACACAGCGCATCCCCATTCGAGGCATCGCCGCCGAGCCGAGGGGTTTTTGCCTCAGCAAGGGGGACGAAGCGCCTCTCGTGGGTTCAGTCGTTCTGGAGCTCTGCTTGGCATGCGGAGAAGCAGTCGGCAGCGCAAGCAATCACGTCAACATATCATATAAGATATTTTAATGGCTACCGCCAGTGCCGCCGACCCCAAAAAACCTTCTACCCTAAAGGTCGGGGATGCCCTGGAGCCCTTTAAAACACTTCATCTCCAGGTTATTGGGGGAGCCCCTAAAACTCGTCCTTTCCACCTTAAAACAGCTGGGTTGGGGGAGCCCCTAAAACCGTACGACATGGTTTCTGGGCGGGCTTTAGCTGTGATGGAAATGCCGGCAGGTTTGCATGTTGTGCTTTTGTGTTTTGACTGGGGTATGGCGGTCACACTTCGCAACTACACCACATGTTGCAAAACGACGAGCAGTCACGATATCGTTGCTGTGGCAGTGCTGCCCTTTTGGCTTTCCAAAAATATTGGCCTCTTTCAGGACGTTTAATTTTAACGCTACGCGACCCGCCTCGGCCCGGCCCAGCGCATCCGCGTGAGCATGGTGATTCCGCAGCGCCCAAGTCGCTGGACCCCAAGCAATAAGGGTTGGGTTGAGGGTTGAGGGTTGAGGGTTCCGGGTTTATGGTTTGGGGTTTGGGGTTGAGGGTTAGTTTAGGGCTCAAGGTTCACGCTTTGGGGTTGAGGGTTTTTTTGGGTTTAGGGTTCGGCTTGGAGTGATCGTAGGGTTGAGCCAGGCCCCTTAAGGTTTAAGGGGGAGGGGGGAGGTGGGGTGGGGGGAGGTGGGGGGGGCGCAGCGGGGGCCGGGGGGGGGGGGGAAGGGGGGGGGGGAGGGGGGGGTGGGGTGGGGGGGGGGGAGGGGGGCGGGAGGCCCTGCTGGGAGGGGCTTCAACTGCCTCTGGCCTGGCGAACCGTCCGCTTGCGGTTTCCCAAAAGGGTACCCATTTGAGGCCAAAAAGTGTTTTCGGGAGCCTGTTGATTGCATGATGCCTCAAAGAATAGCAACCAGTGTAGCCGAGATCTTCATGATAGTGCCTCACTACCAGCCCTAAAGCTGGCGTTTGGGGTTCAGGGTTATAGGATTTAGGTTTAGGGTTTAGTTTAGTGGGAATATACCTTAATTTATATAGGGATCCTTAATATGATTTAAGGGTATATTCTGCATCGGCGCCCTCGGGTTACAGGGTTCTTAGGGGAGGGAGGTTCATGTGGGGCAGGGACCGAGGGAACCTTAGGGAAGCTTGGGGAGGCGTAGGGAGTAGTGGGTTACATGCCCCCCTTGAGCCCCCCTCCCTTAAGAACCCTAGAATCGGGTCCCTGCCAACAGGGTTTAGGGCTTCAGGATTGCTCTGCGGAATCTCAGCCCCGGGAAATACGGTAGGGTAAGCTGCACACATGTCAGGCAGCAGCAGGGCTTAGGGTTTAGGGTGTAGGGTTCAGGGTTTGGGGATTAGGGTTTAAGGTTTAGGTTTTAAGGTTCAGAGTCTCGGCCTCTGCCTGCCCCGTAGTTTGATCAGGTAGCCAAGAGGCGCACAGCCCGGGCCTCAGCAAGTTTAGGGTGGGTGGAGGTTTTTTCCCGAAAGCTTCAGCGAAGGGTTCTTCGGAAAAACAACGTTCGCCCTATCATCACCACACTAATCACCACCACACTACCATCACCACGGTACCATCACCACACTACCATCACCATCACCATCACCACACTACCATCATCACCACACTAATCCAACCCTTCGAGTATGTTATACATGTAAGAGTGGTCCAACCCCCCCCCACCCCCCTACCACTCTAACAGGATTAGGTGGCTACCTATTTCCACCCCCCCCCCCCACCCCCCCTCCCCCCTTAGGGGGTGGGCATCACCAAAACCCACAACCCGAGCACCCACCTCCTAAATCCCTAAACCCTAACAACCCTAAAGCCCTAAGACCCTGGCTCAGGCCCGTCCAAATCCTGGGCCCGTGTTGGACAGGGCCTCAGCTCCGTTTACAGGTTCCTAAACCCTAAACCCTAAACCCTCTTTGCGCGAAGGGTTGGGGAAGTCGAAGCCAGCTCTTCCGTAGTGGGGAATGAGAAACCAGGGCCCCTGATATATAGGGTACCTGCGCGAATTAGGGCCCCTATACCCTTTAAGTGATGATGTAGGGTACCTGAAGGAATTAGCCTTTACGGGATGCTACTCGTATAAGCTACCCCTGAAGCAGTCGTCACAGGTGCGCCAGCCGGGGCGAAACACGCTTCTCCCCGGAAGTTCGGCGTACCAAAGGACCACGAAGGTGGCTCGGGCGTTGGCCCCGCGCCGCCAGCGCCAGCTTGAGGTGCAGGACCGGAAGGGGTTGCTAGGTTTAGGGCCTAAGGTTTAGAAAAAAACCTTCAGCCTTGGCCCGTGGCCCCATTACGGGTTTAGGGTTACTGGTCTAGAGGACGTAGCCAGTTTCGAAAACGTAGGGGATTGCGAGGACTGAGCCCTCAGGGTCCGAAAAAGGGCTTTGGGTGTGGGGGGAGGATTTGGAGGGGGGTGCCTGTTCTGACAACCTATACACCTCCGGCCCGAGGCCTCGGCGGATTTTCGATCTTCGTTGCTGTGGCAGTGCTGCCTTTTTGGCTTTTCAAAAATATTGGCCTCTTTCAGGATGTTTAATTTTCGATCTTCGTTGCTGTGGCAGTGCTGCCCTTTTGGCTTTTCAAAAATATTGGCCTCTTTCAGGATGTTTAATTTTCGATCTTCGTTGCTGTGGCAGTGCTGCCCTTTTGGCTTTTCAAAAATATTGGCCTCTTTCAGGATGTTTAATTTTCGATCTTCGTTGCTGTGGCAGTGCTGCCTTTTTGGCTTTTCAAAAATATTGGCCTCTTTCAGGATGTTTAATTTTCGAGCTTCATTGCCATCTTTCTGGTTCTTGAATTCTGGTTCGTGCAATCCGTTTTTGCTTGCTGAATCTGTGCAGAGAGCCGTTTGCAAAGCCTCTTTACAGCAATTTTGCCGAGGGGGGGTAAGGGTCCAGAACTCATGGCTTAGATTATAGTTATAGGGTTGCGTGAAGAGGCGCCTGCGGGATCCATAATGCTCCAACCAATACTGAACCGAGCACTTTGAGCTTGAACCCAACGCACCCTGAATTGCACGTCTGGCTGTTGCCCCGATGGCCGCGCCTTGAACGAAATTGCTGTAGGGTTCAGGATGTGGGCTTGATGTATAAGGTGCAGGGCGTCGGGTTAAGAATGTAGGGTTCGTGCACGGGGCTCAGGCTTTAGAGCTGCTGGGCTTTGTTTCGGTGGTCACGTCAACAGCAAAATTATGGGTCAGTCGGCGATTCACAACTTAGTCTGTTTGCAGAAGCATCGTCCACGGACTTCACGCATGAGG